ATTCCCCTTGTGATCCTAATATGATGGTGCGATGCTAACACCCCTCTAATAGCCCTATATTATCTTGCACAGAATGCTCGTCCCAGAACTACTACCTTACAAGTGAAATTTAACAATCTTGTAAGGGATTGAAACTCATGAAGTGTAGCTTTTTGCTTCTCTAGCATGAATCTAACCTGCTGTCTCATAGCCACCAATTTGTCATTCAGTAAACGAGAAATCCCAGCAATGATGTCTATCTCGATACCCAAAAAAGTAAGCTGTGTGTCAGGACCCTGGGTTTTTTCTTCAGCTAAAGGGACTCCAAACTCCGACATCAATTCCTGGAAATCAGCTAATGTGTCTCTACATTGTGAGGAATTAGGATTTCCAGCAATCAAGAAGTCATCTAAGTAGTGGGTTATAGCCCTATTACCCGACCTCTTGACTGCACACCAATGCAGAAAGGTACTAAAAGTCTCAAAAGATGAACAAGAAATCGAGCACCCCATTGGCATGGCTTTATCAAAATAATACTTCCCTTCAAACTGAAACCCCAATAAGTCGGTCATCTGGGTGTACAGGGAGCAGCCTGAAGGCAGATTTTATGTCGCACTTCGCTAAGAGCACTCCCTTGCCTAAATTCTTGACCACTGAGTCAGACGATGCATACTTAACTGACGTGAGCTCAGGATCTATGGCATTGTTCACAGAGTCACCTTTTGGGTAAGATAAATTATGAATTAACCTAAATTCCCCAGGGGCTTTCTTGGGCACCACACCCAAAGGGGATAAATGAAGGGTGGGAATTGGCAGATAATCATGAGGTCCTGAAATCCTTCCAGCAGCTATCTCCTTTGCCACCTTGTCCCTTACGATGGCCGGCAAATCCTTCACAGAACAAGCATTGGGGGCATAATGATGTACCCTAGAACCTGTATAAGGGATGTGAAAATCCCAAGAGAAACCATTAAATAAATAAGATGCAGTCTCCTGGTTCAGGTAGGCCCTCAGCCAAGCCACCATTACATCTAATTTAATTTGTGATGGAGCCTTTTCCTCCTGGTGACATTGGCTGGGCCATGCCTCCCACTCCTGACTGCTTACCTCTATTGCAGGAAGCACCAGAGTGATCACCCCCGCACGTGTTACACTTGTGGTCAAACCTGCAGGGCTGCCTCTTACACTTTCCTGTGTTAAAATCCCAGCATATACTGAATTGCTTTCTTTCTTCTGTACCAGGCCTCTCATTCTGCCCTCTCAGCTGGGTAACCATGGGAACAAACCCTTTGTCACACCTGCTCGAAGGGGAGGCCCCCACCATTACATCTGCCCATAGTTTGGATTGAACATGTCTCCAGGAAAGGGAGAGATCTTGGGCAGCCCTCATTCTAAATTGCTCATCATATT